AAAAAAAAGAACATTCATAATGAATGATTAAAAGACCAAAATAAACATTAACCCTCATTCAAGATTCATTAAAACTGAAAAACCAACATTTATAATGAATGATCAAAAGACCACCATCAACAACCCTCATTCAAGATTCATTAAAATTGAAAAAAACAACATTCATAATGAATGATCAAAAGACCAACATCAGCAACCCTAATTCAAGATTACATGAAGATGATATACGTATATAAAGAAAAGATAGTTATTTGAGTACCCATATGAGGATGAAGCTTATGGAAGTGAAAAGATGAAGAAGGATTAAAAGGGGATACCTACCAAAAGTGGAGTGAGAGGGTATAGAGATATGATGATGATAAGAATCATGAGAGACTTTGATGTTGATGATGGGGGAAATGTCAGGATCCGAATCCGACCCGACAACTCTCTTCTGTACAAGCATACCTCCAGGTCTTACTTCCCAATCAATGGTGGTTTCAATCGATTTTGGTGGTTTTGGTTTACTTTTAGTTGTTGATGAGGTTTTCACCATCATTTCAACGAACAAAGCAAAAGTAGATGAGAAGAGAAGAGAATGGGAATTGAGTATAAGAAATAGAGGGAATTGAAGTAGATGAGAGAGAGAGGTGGAAATTGAATGAGAATTTGGTTGAGTAAAAGAAAGTGAAGAAGACGGAAAAGCGACTTTCCACCTGCGAGTGTTATTGGTTCATTAGCGGTTGGTGGTCGGTTTCTGTAAAAACTGTTTTATGCTCCCTCACCCTGGCCCCTGCCTGCTCGATATATACAAATATATATATATACAAATATATATATATACAAATATATATATATATATATATATATATACACATATATACAATATTAAAAAATGGAGTTATATTTATCTTGAAATTTTTAAGAGATAAAAATTTTGATGTTGAATCTAAAAGTTTGACAACCATATGTTTTAAACAGTTATCATTGAATTTTAAGATATATGAAAATATATGCTTAATGTACAGTTGAGTAAAACGTCTTCCTTCTTCCTTGAAAATCTCTTCTTAACCCACGTCCCCATAACCATTCCCTTGTAATCAAACCCTATCCCACGGCCCAAAACTCCTACACTACCTTCGCTTCTACAAATTTTGAACTTGCATCTCCAATGGAACTTCAACACCAACCGCACCATCGACGTAGCTTTCCAACACGCTGGATGTTGAACATCCCAATAGGTTGCTTGGCTCTCAACCTTGAACGATGTTGATGATTTTAGTGTCATCAAGTCATTTAGTATAATCGAGATTAAAGTGAGACAAACCGAAATTAGACTTAGCTATAATCCGAGCCCGAATGTGCGTAGTGCATGCTCGGATAAGTTAAGTTGATCTCAGAAACACGGGGTCCGGACTCTGGAGGCACCTTAATAACCATTCAACTATATGGTATATACCTATAAAAATAATTTATCCGATATGCACATATACATATAAACCATAAAAAATCTTTAAATAAAATAATTATTAAAGTGTTTCTTAATTTTTATTTTTTAAAAAATCATTTATATTTATAATTATTTATTTGTTACTGTTATTAGTTTGGAGTTTGAACAGACAAGCACTCTCAACCATCGCTGTTCATGGGGCAGGTGGGATGACCACCTTTCCAAGGTCCAATTTTCTTTTTTTTAAAAGTAAATAAATAAATAATAAGAGTTCAGAAAAAGAAACAAAAGTTTGAAAATTTTCCAATAAACTCTCGATCGACAGCTTTTCAACATTATGGCTCCTATGATCGATCTCCCTCTTTTTTATGTAGTTTATTTCTTCGAATTCTCTATGTTTCAAACAAATTAAAGGAATGCATATAAACATGTTAAAAACGAGAGAAAATCGAAAAACAAAAAAATAATCAAAAAGGGGAAATCGATAACAAAGGCTATTGCCGATGTATGATAACAGAGAGCGGATGACGATAATATTATGATGGAAAAGGGACGGGTAGTGGGCGGGTAATGCATCCCCCGACTCCCGTTTAAACCTTGCGTCCCCCGATTGCTTCTATAAAATTCTAATTTAATTTATTTTTTGTTTTGTGATAATTTAATGTAGTGTTGTTTGTCTTCCATTGATTTACTTAACCTGTCTAAATACATATATTCATCGGCTATAATATTTCTTTCTTTTATTAATGATTTAACACGCTTAAATATTTATCTGGATATAAATAACAGATACTCATGCGTCCACGTATGGTTAAAATCCGTCTTACTCAATCTTTTATTTACTTTTTTCTAATAATAAAATGCAGAGGTAGGGATGAGCATATGGAATCATCTTTTTATTTAAGAAAATCTAAAGAATTTTTCTTTTATGACATGTCTTAAAAAACATACTAATTGTGAATAAAATATGCATCTTCACATATCAAATTTTATCATTTTTAGCTGTTACTTAAAAAATAAAATTAAAAAATAATTTAATAACTAAGTCATTAATCTGATTAAAAAAAAAAGCAAACAATCAAT